TCCATGTTGTTTACTGAGAGCTCTTGTGTGTCGTGTTGACTTTCCTTGTCTACTGCACTGATGTTGGTCGATCTGCAACAATGAGCGAAATGGTTTTTCTTTGTACATTTCATATAGGTCTTGCCCCAAACTGGATGCTTCCGACCACAAAAATGACAACTGGCCTCCTGTCCCTCGGATGACAAAGACAGAGCTTCTTTGGTCTTCAATACTGTACAAAGTCTTTCTGTCGTGTTCGCCTGCAAATTCTGGAACTGTCGTGACGTTGTTGTTTCGCTAAGGCACTGATTTAGGGACAGCTTTTTCTGCCTCAGAAGGCGTCGAATGAGGTCGTCATTTCGTATGCCGATTACGATGCGGTCGCGTACCAGCGAATCACGCATGCACTTACAGAAGTTGCACGTTCGCTCTAGAGCTTTCAATTCCTTAATGTAGGTCTCGACTGACTCATCCGGTACGCGATTGCAACCAAAAAACGTTTCATTTGTTTGACCTTCGCAATAATCTCCAAATCTCTTGGTTATCTCCGAAATGTCCGGCTGCTGCTCCTCCGCATCACCGCGATCCAGAGTCTTAAGTACCCGTCTGGCTTCGTCGCCAATAGCGAGTCTGAACATACCAAGCTGGTAAGACATCGGATAGGAATCCAACTGAGTCAGCGTGACGAAATTCGTCAACTTCGCTTCCCACATTATCCAATTGTCAGGTAGCGTGCTTTCCGTCATTTGTAGAGCAGTTGACAGCGGGATCGACGGCTGTCCACCAAAAGCGAGCAGGGTCAGGCGCGTCAGCTTCTCCTCTGTAACTATGTTGCGTGTCTGGTTCTCCCAGCCGCGTCAAGAGAAAGAACTCACACCGGATATGCACACAAGCGCTGTATTCACAAGTCTCAGGTAAAGTACAGCTAACTGTGATTTTAAAACCCACCTGCCCACCCGATCGATCGCCTGATCGACCACACTGTGGCAGGCGATTCCATTAGCCCCAACTGTCATCGAGTAGCAACGACTTCCATCGCGTGTACTACTCAAAGTGGAGAAATTTGAAGTGTAAAACCACTGGAACTAAGCATACGTCACAACATCCGGCTCACCGATTTATGCAGCTATGCAGTCTATGATGACCGGATAACCGCAAAAGGCTGTTGCGCGTATCTAAAGGTCTGTGTAGCTTTTCAAAGGTCCAGTTGTCAGTAGAGACAGCAAGATGTCATCAAGTCAGTAGTACAAATGAACCCATAAAAGAATGAGCATCAAAGCGATCTACACGTTGAATAGACTGTACGGCTGGTCATCGCGTGAAGGCGAGACAGTATCGGCGAGACATATTCCTTCTTTCAATTTTTAGCGCATTACTTCATAAGTAAACCTACCCCACAATTTACTCGGCGCCATGCGCATTTCAAGTAGATAGCTCAGTTAAAAGAGAATGAGGAATATGCCAATGGTGCTGGTTGTGAGTACTGTCCATTAATATCCCACATCAAGCGCAGGGCCCCATCCCCAAAAGCACCTAATTCGTCACGATCAAAGTAATTCGCATTTACCGGGTATATCACTGCTCACATCGATTCTTACGCTCTCCGGTAAACAAACAAAACCATTATAGATGAACGGGGTACACAGCCGAAACTTCTTTCGTCTCATTTGTTGATCCAGTAAAATAAAATGATCGTCAGTGAGTAATCACCTGTGCGCTCTGTCGTTGCGGTCTTCAACTCGAAAATATCGAGCTTCTGTGTCGCATATATCACACATCATTAACGACCGTCAAAAGTGGCAGACTCATGAGGGCAGTTATAAATTTGGCAATAAACGACTGATTTCATCACGCAGTCCTCTCTAGTAATGAAGCTTCTAAAACAGGTGAACTGAGCAACGATTTTCGGTATAGTGCCATCAAGACGTTAAGAAAGTGCATGACGATTCTGGAAAAGCATTCTCAGATTACACTAGATTTTTGCGTGCGAGTCCATGCTGCCGTATGTATTTGAAAAACTACTCAACCAATGCATTCTCGCAAGTAATCATACCGATGATGTTGAACAGTATCTGAGACACAGCGCATTACATTAAGTGCCATTTCGTATCTCATGTATCACAATGGACCTGCGTTGGATAAAAATATTTGTTCCTTGATTACAGCAACATCCCTGGAAGCCTCGACTGGTTACTACTAAATCCTTTGTTTTAAAATAACTCCCGGATGAATGTAGCCCAATGTGTGACCATTTCACGAATCGTGCACACCTCACGCAGTTATGTGATAGTAGGTCTTCTAGACTGCCGACCAACCGAGCCGTTTGCAGGGGACTATCATATTCCCTTTTCCAATATTCCTCTACGTCAAATCTTCTCACACCACATCTGATGTAAATATGCTGATGACATCGTCTTAGGAAGTATAACTAAGCCAGTGAAGAATTCGAAACTCCAACGAGGATTAGACGAACTCGTGACTTGGTCGAGCTCCCGGTCCCTCACATTAATCATTCAAAGTGTTGTGACATAAAGTTCTCTTTTTCCGTCCGGACAGACTGCGTTCCCTTGCAAATACCCCCTCCGTTGATCACAAATGACTAGAACATGCCTCCTTCCCCTACTGTAAAGTAACTTGGAGCATTTTTGTTTTTAAAGTTATCCTGATCCATACATTATTGAAACTGACTTTTTACATTCTCAAACACGAAATATTTTCCGTACCGTGCTTTAATTCTGGGGATTGTAACTGCACCTATTTTTCTCGATGGTTATATGGTTTCATAACTATTTCGTACGTTCTTCAAGTGGATTGATAGTGTTTTTGTGCTATACTTATTGTTAACAGAGATTTCAATGCAAGCACCAACTTTTCAGCCGGATTCTTAACGACTCCTCTCACCGTTACACACTTTGGTAGCAAGTACAGCGTTTAACTCCACTACACCACAGTAACCTACTTTATTTTCTCGTACCTCGTCTTACGACGCAATAGGAATGAAGCACCAATTGCACGACCGCATGCTTAGGTAAAAATGCAATCTTTATCGTTTTCCTAGTTTAGTAGCGTTTTCCATTATACCCACAGTAATAATGTATGTTGACAACGCGCACTGACTAGAATACCAGTACCTGCAAACAAACTACTCGCTATCACGCACAGAAAATGTCACTCGGAGAACCGATCAAGACCTCATATGAGAATGCGCCCAACACAGATGAGTACGTCCGAATAGACTACGATGTCCCATTACGAGATCAAATAAAGCATTAAGCAGAACAGACGTGTCGGTGTAAATGCGTATAGTCGTGATTCAAAATGAGCAAATGCTTACTTTCTATTTAGTTTTTGACGGTTGCGAAGTACCTGAGTCGCTGGAGCCAGTTAATGGTAGAAAATCGGTTTCGAAGGAGGGAGTGACTGCTACGAACATGCTTGAAGGAAACTGTAGACGTATCTCTATTACAATAAAACAAGCTAGCGGCTACCTTAGAAACTGACAGTCTTTCATTTCTGATGACTTCGTTAGAACATGGGTGATATCTCATTTAGAGGTTCAGAGCGCATGGGACGGATGGGAAAATGGACGCGATCAGAGTAAAGTGGCATACCGATGTCAATGCTCACGATTGAGCAGAAAGTGGCATGCAGAAACATGTCGCTAGCATGCGATGAGCGTGAACGGGCCGGTGATAGACGCCAACACACCTCCACCAGGATTAGTTCTTGTAGGGTAGTTTGATATAATAATCGGAGTAGCATGGGGCCAGAGATTTGAGTAGGGGCAAGAGTTAACCGCCTAAGATGAGGAAAAAGATAGCAAAGATCGGCCAGTGGGTTGGTGTGAGACTGATGGGGCCGAGCTTCCAGCCATCGTGAATCCAACAAATACCAACAACAATCCTGGTGACACGTAACGGATGTATTCGTCAAAGCCCCGGGAGATCGAAGTTGTGGATCTGTGGAAGGTTTGCTGAGATGCACCAGATTGAGATCTAACAGGCATCGTGAACTAGTCTGAAAGCAATAAGGGAATGAAGAGAGTTCCTTGAGAGAATTGGCTAAAAAATTGGAGCAGGGTAATTCATATACTATGTAATATACCTTGTGTATATCCAGTATCAGGTTTCGGGCGTCGAAAGCGTTCAAAAACAAGTCTGTTAGGTAAAGACGCTGAACGGAGTTCAATTGCCGGACAACACGACGAATGGTTGATAACAGAGCTCCACCCGTTCCATAGACAAATCCACGCATTCCATCTACTTCGCAGTGAAAATCCAGCTCAAAAACTCGGATCAATGGTGGATTCCGGGGTGCATTAGTAGATTGTGCATATCGACAACTCTGGCTTCGTTGGTACACACGACCGGTAGATCTAACTATGGGGACCGGAGTGTTTTCAGGCAGAGACACGGAGATGGAACGCACCTCATTTAGGAACTCTCTTGTGTCAAGATCACTCTGGGTTGAAAATGAAAGTGTAATGAGCAAAATAATAGTATCATGAAATTGCTAGAGATTCCAAAACATTGAAGGCGAAGAGACAGTACACTCCAAAAATTGAATATTTCTACCGCGGGTCCGTCAACCTTACTGATTCTACAGTACTGGTTGCATGTGAAGCCATTAAATGGAGCAGTAAGAATTTTCCCTAAGGATACGAGGGTGCGTGCACTTCACATGAGAAGAATGAGAAGCCAGTGGAACACGTGGAAGCCTCACTCGCTCTGGTGCGTCAGTGGACTCTGCCTGCTTACGCAACTGAAGGGCATTCACTGAGATTTCCGTAGGATGCTCTATCTACTTACTTCCAAAGGGGTGCTTGTTTTTGTATCGTATACCAATATTGCGAAAGCTTTGGTGGAAGGTGGGAATCATATGACTAATAATGATTAATCTCGTCGACGCAGGTGATTGACTGCAGCAAGTGAATCGCTCCATTTATCTCGGGAGTTGTAGCACGCCGGGTTGCGGTATTGGAGATGAAGAATCACAAGGAATCGCCAAATCCTGCCCGGCATTCACCAACGGGAGACACGTTGCGCCGCCACGGCATCAGTCTAAGACTCAAAGGTAGAGTGTACAGTGCCACTGCTCGTGCGGTCCTGCTGTACGGCTGCCAGACCTGGATTGTTCACGCAGAAGATCTAAAACAACTATCATCTTTCGACAACCGCTACTTGCGAACGATCGCTCGTGTTTGGTGGCAATGCCGTGTAAGCAACCCGAAGTCGAGTGCTCGGAGCGAACAATCCAAGCCTCCAAGGCACTGGTCTCGAATACCGTTCACGTTGGATCGGTCAAGTATTGCGCATGCCACCCAATGGACTTCCTCGTCGAGGATTGTTTGCAATTTCTGGGCAAGAATGGAAAAATGCCGAGGCGGACAACTGATGAAGTGAAAAGGGACATTGAGAATGTCACCTCATGTTTGGCATCAGTATGACCGTCTTGCAAGTTGGGGGCCACATGATGGGGACTCCAAATGCTTGGAAGTCTTAGAAGCGATGGCTCGCAATCAAAGTCGATGGCGTCAACGCTGTTCTAACATTTTCATCCAAATTCAAATTTTAAACGAAAAAAATGCAAAACGGCGTGTGTGGAACCCTAAGAGAGAAAAAAGGAACATATCATTTTCTTTTGTTTGTGGAATAGATCTTTTTACAATCCATTACAGTTATGGTTCTGGTGACAAATTTGTCCGTTTCCAGACTTGTGAATAAATATAACACCGTTTGAGTGGATAAAACCAATCTCGTGAATGAGAATTCATTACATCGTTGGTGAAGAAATCAGTTCACTTCCAGTGATGTGACCAACAAGATGTTGCTAACGAGCAAAACGAATCCGACTCAGCTCTATGAGCAAACCGTAACAGGCCGTCAGTGCGACTGAACAGATAACCATGATCTCCTCAACTGTCTCTGAAAATCGCTCCACATAGTTGTTGGTAGGTATGGTTCAAGTTGAAATATTTAAGAGGTCGATTGTAAAGCGCATAATAACGACAGAAGTTTAAAGATGATGTTCGCCGTACGTAGTTCCTCTGAGCATAGCATATACACTCAAAGTAATTCAAACAACCCTCTAACATTTGGAATTGTTGCTCTGGCTTAACAATGAAGGCACTAAAGGACCGAGAAAATCGCACATCCATGACAAAAAGGGTTCATTTATGCTTTATAGGTATTTTACATCCAAGCATTCATTTTTGCGGATGATCGCATCCATGTTATGGTTATGAGATGACTAGTAAATCCAAGTGAGCGGTTCAGTCAGTAAGTAGAACGTGCTGATTTACGTGAGCATATGGAATGTGGTTTGATTTGCTCTGAGGAAGAAAAGTAAAACATGCACATGGGTTGATGCCGTAAAGTGAACATAGCTAGAACAGAAAGCTCAGACAAGTGAGTTGAACAGGTGTCACTATGTGACCTTTTAACGTCAGTCGCACACCCGGATTGTCAGCATCAATCGATAGAAGGATAAGAATAAACTTTTTCGAACGGAACTGAGCTCACTTCTTCGGAATCGCTCGAACTAATGTTAAAGGTTTCACGTTTCTGAAGTTTCATGATCAATTTCAATGTCGCTTCGGCATCAGGATCACCAATAATCGAGCCGCAGTAACCAGAGAGAAAAACTTGCTCATCGTCTGACTGTCCTAGCGCATTGATAGGTTCGCACGGCTCCACTGAACCGGGTGGGATGAACTCCTGATTCCCAAGCAGCATCGGATCATCGTTATCCAGTTCAGTGCCTGACGATCTAGTGTCAGAGAAGTCGGAACCTGGACCAGGATCACTCAAGTTAGGGTTGGACTCCAAGTAGTTAGCGATCAGACTCAGAATTCGATTGAGCAGAAAAATGTCTTCACTCTTTAAAAAGCGGTACTCATTTATGTATGAACCGATGGTTCTGAGACAACTGGAAGAAACAACAAATGGTAGATAACAGTGTGAATGGGCTGTGGGTAGTTACCAATGTGAGTGTAATTCACGGAGTAGTCGTGAGGTTTTGGCTAAGTACAGGACAATGCCACTGCAGTATAGCATAAGTGAGTTGCCAACGTCAGTATTGCTAATACTAACAGCCGCAACATCGTCGGACACAGAAGCACAATGATATAATTCAAGCAACGCACAACGGAAGTGGACTGGGATCTTAGGATCATCAGGTAGATGAAAACGATCAAACTTGTGACAAAGTAGAAGAGTTTTTAAGGTCTTTGAGCACCATGGATGGAGATATAGCACAACACGGTTGATCCGTAAGATAAGCGGTCAGAAAATATTGATTGACTTTGCTGTTGTTTACATTAGATATGTTTCGTACAAGGATTGAAAACTGATTTCAACTACCCTTGCATTGTTTTGCTGAGACTTTTACAGTCCTTTCTACATTTGGTTCCGTTGATTCATTATCTAGGGATTAGGCGTGTGGCGTGAGACGGTTTCCTGAAATTTAAGATTGGTTGTTTTTGCCTAATTAGTACTGCAGACCATGGTGAAAAAAGGGAACAAAAGTATGCTCTGAAGGGATACGAAAACGGCGGCACAAAAAGAAAATGGTCTTTTCATGTTTCACATGTTGCTTTCTTTAAAGTGGAAAATCAGAAAGGAAAGGAACCGTAGGACAGTACTTGTACTACTGATTTCTGCTGGAACTATTATGGGTTCGCATCCAGTGCCATCCAAGCTGTAAAACGAACAGATCCAAGCGATGTCGAATGCAAAGTGCTATTTCTCACTGTCCTTTTCTAGCAAGGAAATCAGCTCTTCTAGAAATCACTGGCTCCTGGTTTGTTATCCATAGCACAGAGGCCCATAACGTAATCAGTCGCTACTCTTAAGTATGCACAGTTCAAACCAGGTACAATCTGGTGCCTTCTTGCCAGGGTTAAACCGTTCACACCTATGGTGACCTGGATGGCCTTTCGCCAATAGTAATTAATTATGGTGGATCTGATATTTCGCTTCCACTTTTGATCTCGTCTACCTTGTCGATGTCTCCCAAATACTCTTCCAACTCAATAAAAATAAGTTTGTCATTATACTGAGACCGCAAAATAGTCAAATACGTAATATTATCTACTACCACCTCAATAACCATATGCTTGTGATTTTCAGGATAACAGAGCGGTTAGATAAACGGGCGAAGCTTAATTTCTTGAATTTAAACTATCTTGTTCATATATCACAACACGGTTTTCTAACCACTCATTCTTGTATAACTTGTCATTTGGAAAACTTTAATTACATTACATGCGCCGTTGACTCTGGAGCTGCCATTGTAAATTCTTGGTTATGCAGAAGGCATTTGACCACGTGCCTAACCATTCACTGCGCTTTGTAATGGAGTACTTCTCTATCACATATCTATCACTTTCATCGTTCACGTTTTATTTTCCAGACCGAACATAAATGGCTTATTTTTGTGATTATATTTCATCCCCCAAACCCATTAACAGTGGTGTTATACAAGGAAGTGTTCTTTCATACATGAGGGATGAATTCAGTATTTTGCATATGATAATGCTTTTGTTTGTGTAGACGACATCAAGGTCGTCTGTGTATTGCACCCAAATGCACTGACTAGATGGTAGCAAGAGCTAAAACAGTTGGATTTGTGATGTAGTACGTGGCATATGACATTTTCGGTAGGCAAGTGCAGTGCTGTCACACATAAATGGATTCTTCCCTTGAATCGCTTTGCGTTGTACTTCGGCTATATCAATAGAAAGGATTACGTAATTATGAAGGCCCTACCATATGAATAAAACTTGATTCAAGCTTTGAGTCTTGTGCTCCTCTTCACCCAGAATAATGCAAAATTATTTATGATAACTAAAAAATACATCATCAGTAGGCCGTACCGATGTTAAGCTGCTAGGTAACCGCCGGTCGTGCGAGGGCAAAGGATACTGTGCGGGTCACGAGGTCCACTATGCAGACTCGAACCAGCGATCTTCGGGGTGCAAGGCAGATGACCAAGTGCCGGCAATTACGGCAACTTACACAAGTCTGATAAAATGGCAGTTGATCATTATCACCACCAACAGCAGTACATCAGCCATTTGAAGTGATGCTTCGCTGCCATACAACCATAACGACCCATAGAACGAAGAATAATCAGAGGGAGAGAAGGGGTCCTACCGGAAAACCTTAACGCCCTAAGCAAACATTCAGGGTCAAGGCGCCTATACCTTGTGTAGACAACATACCACAACAAACAGCTGGCTGTTGTGCAAAGATAAGACGGCATCGGCGAGACAGCTTCCTTGCGGCTTTCACTTCCACGCGTCATAATCAGCTATTACCCCGCAGATAACTCAGAACCAAACACACGTTAAACAGGTAGTCCGACTAGGAGACGGCAGCAGACGCGCCACTGGTGTCTACTGCGAGCCATGTCCCGTTAACTCTCGAGCCAAGCACAAGGCGAGTCACGTGGATTCCAGTCTGGAAGGTGACACGGACCAACGGCACCACGATTGGTCGTCAATGACTTCATTTCCCGCTGCCAAGTCAACTTCTGTCCACCCCGAGCCTGGCGCCACCCTACACCTGGCAGACTAAACAAGGCCCTCCTAGGTAAGCGGTGACCAAGGATACGTAGCACGTGCCCGAGCCAACGCAACTTATTCAGTGCTATCTGTTGTTCTAAGGGGCTAGCATGATTATCACCACCTAGTACTCGCCTACGCACATCATCGTTGCGGACACGCTGGCGCCATCCGACATCAGCAATGCTTCGCAGACAATGATGATCAAAGACTTGAAGGCGCCTCAGATCTCCAGACCGAAGGGGCCAAGTTTCAATACCATAGAGCAGGACGGCCCTCACAGTTGCCTTGTATACACGGCCTTTCAGATGGAGGGAAAGTCCCTTCTGTCTCCAACGATGCCGCAGGTTCAAGAAGATAGTTCTGGCTTTTGCAAGGCGTGAACTGAATTCAGGTTCTATGCGCCCATCGTTGCTGATGCAGATGCCAAGGTAAGTGAATCGATCAACCAGGTCGAGTTCATCGCTATCTATCTATTTCTTGTGGTTCTGTAGTAAAACTATGCACTATGAAAGTGCGAAACGCATACCAAATAGTGGGACCACACTAGGGAGGCTATTCAGGGTTGGTTGGGCCGTCACAACATCGTTCAACAGCAAGACGCTGTAGTTCACATAAACAAGATCAACTGGCGTTTCACCAGACAGGACCTCAACGTCTGCATCGTAAGATTCCGCAAAGGAACGCTCCATGATAGAGTCCATGAGGAAATTGAAAAAAATGGGGAAATCGGACAACCCTGACGAACGCCACTTGTGATCGGAAAGCTATCCCATAGGTCAACGTAGACCCCGACGCGGTCTGTAGTCTTCGACCTTAAAGCATCTAAATTACTTATGAATGGAAGGATTTTGTTGAGTATTTTTGTTCGTCGCAATCAGCCGACAATTCAGATATGTCGACCAGCTATCCGGAAAAGCACCAGACGGCCGTTTCGCCCTATTGGGGCTCATCAGTCGTGCGCATCCTTCGGTCCTCTGCGGAGGATCGAACCCATGACTGCTAGTGGCTCTTGCCAACTAGCCCGCAGCTTATGCAACTGCGCCATGGAGGACGGTATCTGACTATCGTGAATTGTTAGCTAAATGCGATATAGCCCGACGCATCCTCCACTGCCATGCAGGCACCTGCCATGCAGATGACAGCGGTCGGCCTTCCGGCGTCAGGACTTCCCGGTTACGGCAGCTATGAATCGACATAGCATTTAGCTAACAATTCACGATAGTCAGATACCGTCCTCCATGGCGCAGTTGCATAAGCTGCGGGCTAGTTGGCAAGAGCCACTAGCAGTCATGGGTTCAATCCTCCGCAGAGGACCGAAGGATGCGCACCACTGATGAGCCCCAATAGGGCGAAACGGCCGTCTGGTGCTTTTCCGGATAGCTGGTCGATATATCTGAATTGTCGGCTGATTGCGACGAACAAAAATACTCACCAAAATCCTTCCATTCATAAGTAATACCAATTCGCCCGTACGGATTCCACAAAATGCTATGTCGATTCATAGCTGCCGTAACCGGGAAGTCCTGACGCCGGAAGGCCGACCGCTGTCATCTGCATGGCAGGTGCCTGCATGGCAGTGGAGGATGCGTCGGGCTATATCGCATTTAGCTAACAATTCACGATAGTCAGATACCGTCCTCCATGGCGCAGTTGCATAAGCTGCGGGCTAGTTGGCAAGAGCCACTAGCAGTCATGGGTTCGATCCTCCGCAGAGGACCGAAGGATGCGCACCACTGATGAGCCCCAATAGGGCGAAACGGCCGTCTGGTGCTTTTCCGGATAGCTGGTCGACCTATCTGAATTGTCGGCTGATTGCGACGAACAAAAAGCATCTAAATTGTTCAAATATTTCAGCAGAACATCTTCCCGTGCAAATACAGAACAGAATGCAATGATCGACTGAGTTGAATGCACTCTTGAAGTTGAGATACACAGCTATTTTCGGTCTGCGGTATGCGTAGAACTGCTATAGCGTCTGCCGCAGAGTGAATATGTGGTCTATACTGTCACGACCTGGGCGGCAACCTACCTGCTCTTCTCTAATCCGTGATTTCCGTTCCACACTAAGGCGACGAACGAGAAATGAGGACAGTAATTTGTCACCACCGGTGTTAGGCTAATACCCTTGTAGTTAGCACAGTCCGTGCGACTGCATATATATGTATATATATATATGCATATATATATATATATATATATATATATATATATATATATATATATATAGTAGATTCCGGTTAATAGGACCAGCCGCTTATTCGGGCCAAATTCTGAAGAACCGAAACGAATCCTATTACGCTAGCCTAATTTTAGCCGCTTATTAGGACCGGAATTCCGCTTAATCAGACCAGACGATAGAAGGTGGCAGGTAACAGAGGTGTTAAAATCAAGTTCTGTGCCTGGATGTCTGGACTAAACCCACAGTTCATATGTCGGACAAGAAAGCGTATCATTCAGTTACGGTAATCCGAGTTGGCCTTTGGATAA